GGGCCTTCCGTCCTTATCGTGGTCCTTTTCCGATTTTTTCAATAGATCCTCCCTGTTCCGACAGCTAGGGGAATGATTTATTACAGCTAATAATACTCCCTGATGAACTCTCAAGTACATCAACACTGCATAAGGAAATAATCACTGCGAGCTTCATTTAGCAACCACATATTCATAGATCGTGCCATTTTTGGCGCTCATTACCAATTTAGGGCGGAGGAGGACGGATGCGCATACATCTCTATTATTCGTGGTCTCTATTCTAGGAATGTTAGCGCCAGCGTTGTTTTGACGAGGAAAGGAATAGGACTTCGAAGATGAAACTCATTCAACCGTATTCTATTCAATCAGCAGACTTCGAACTTTTCGAAATTAGTCTTTCATCACAGCAGCTACTCTAGTGTGAAGATTTAGGGTTTAGCAGAAACTATCTCGGACTTGATCTCCGGACAGAGGTGGCTGATCCTCAACACTCTACTTATGTGACCAGCACCACCAATTTTGAGATGCATGTCACTGTGGAAGTAACGAGACAAACTACGCATCGGCCTGGACTGAATCAAAGTCTCAGTACTGGGCTGTACGTCCGTACCCTGCAAAGGCACCCAGAAGATCCGCTGCGTCTCCAGCTAGGTTCCTAATGTTATCGGCTCTTTCTGGGTCTATCGTGTTGAAAGCTTTCCACTCCGATATTCGCACTTTCGGGCTATCAGAACTTCAAACACTAGGATTATCGCATCTTCACAGAATCTTGAATTATGGTCTAACTTCGTCAGAGGAAGGAGCAAAAAGAACCGTACTTTTTTGGTTATTCCGTTTACACAAGGTTTTTCATTCTTCAATTTTGCTAGTAGGGTAGAGGAGACGTAGTGGTGCTCAATGGTACGCCAGTGGCGAAAAAAAGCAGAGAAATCCGTCAAGAACGCAAAACGGGACCCCTCTTTTTGGCCGTTGTTTTCACTCATGAACAGGTAACAGCTCAGAAAGCGGATATGTGGCGAGTTCAGCGTGGCAGCATGCCAAAACACACTGCTCCAGGTGGCAGTGCAGCTCGTCCAAATCACCAACTAAACTAGTGGGCGGATCGCTTTTGGGGGCGGAGTGCTTTCGAAGTCCTGCTCAGCAACCAGCGCACCTTTCGTCGTGAAAGCGCTACACCTCGCTTCCCTGGCAGCCAAGTAACTGCTTCGTGTGGTGCATATGCTTCCCAATGCGCTCCCTTTTTATCGAAATCGCTGCTTTAACCATAGTGCCCTACTTTCTGGGGGTAGTAAATGGGACAGGTTCTCGATTCACTCTTATCATGATTCGGCTAACCCTGCTGCAGGTGTACAACCACCCCAAAAAAGAGATTGGCCTGCTGAAAATAGCACGTCCACCGAAGAAAATTCCGGGTCCATAGATGCAATCGGACGTGCGAGACTAAGGTATGATATCGGGATATCAGGTATAGCTCCCAGTACCTCAAAGTACTCAAATGCAGAACTAATTCTGATAAGTGCATGGCGAATGCGAAACCTCGAACACTAAACTATCACTGACAGCGTCCAACAATCATCAATATCAGAAATCCGCACTCCTCGATTTCAATCCAGAATCGCACGTGCTTTGCAAACTCTTCTCAAGACCGTGGTCAACCTTGAGGTTTACATCCTTTTGTAATTCACTTATTACATTAGTCACCAGCTCAGTGACGGCTAAGAACCACATCCTCAGACCGCCGTCACACTCGGCGACGGACAAGCGATGGAGCGATCGCGATCGCTCCATCGCTTGTCCGTCGCCGAGTGTGACGGCGGTCTTACAAGGGAGGTCTTTCAGGACATGGAGCGCTTTTTCGAAATGGTTTTCTGCATGTTGTAGGGGCTCATGCGAGGAACACAGAACCATGATCCATTTTTCCTGAACGCCTCCAGGAATGTCAAAACAGTGGTGAAGAAATGGTCCAGAGTTCGATCCCCGGTGATGACTAATTTTTGCAATATAGTTTGGCGCCCCAGATTGCCGCCAAATGGCGCCATCGTCGAGAATAGATGTCATTGTCGTGTTTTGCGGCAATTTGGAGGCGCCAACATAAATTGCAAAAATTTGTCATCACGGAGGATCGAACTTTGGACCCGCTGTTTTGACATTCCTGGGGCGTTCAGGAAAAATGGACCATGGTTCTGTGTTCCTCACATGAGCCTCTACAACATTCAGAAAACCATTTTGAAAAAAACGCTCCATGTCCTGAAAGACCCCCCTTGTTAGGTTGCGCTGTGAGCACATTACACAAACTACAAAAGGGCAAGATTTTTGGCTCTTGAATGGTTGGAAAATAAAGAACGCTCAATATTCAGCTAATGCTCATGCTCCCATAATTATTTCAACTTTAGTTCAGCATGAAGATGTAGAAGATTAAATGCGAAAAAGATCTCGTGCAATGCTCGCTGGACACCGGCTGCTTCATCTTCTCCAGAACAATTGACGCTGTAGTACAGATTAACGAGGTGAAAGTAGAATAACTAAGTTTTTATAAAAAGAGCTGAGCCTCAGCTTCAAAGGGGTGGCTGATATGAGAACTATCCAAATTTAGCACCGCCTCCATACGCAATCGCCTCAAGTTCCGTCACGAGGGTTCACGTAATCCCATTATCGGTCAAGGGTGACAACACGAAACAAGCTGCACTTTGCAATCATATAAGTGCTGAAAATGATGAACGCAGTCTAGGGTTGGCCGTGAGTACAGAGTTGGAGTGCGTCTCACACTTTGCCCTTAATGCGCGACAAATGTCAGAAACAGCCATTCAGCGATCGTTGTGAGAAGTCGGGTCTCGGTGAAGAAATGATTGCAGTAAAATGAAATTATGGATTGGGTGTTCACAATTTTCTTCTACCCCACCGATAAATCGCACCTGGTCACACAACGACCGCAGTTGCAGTTTTTCTTGTGGTTTTCTGAACAGGGGAATTCACGTTGTACCATAAATTTAACCATAAAGGATACGTTGTACCATAAAGGATATTAAGCCCTAAAGCTAATACCAGTTGTTGTAAACGCTGAATGGGTAGAAGCTAAATGAATCTGCGGAAAGACTTTCTTGAGAAAATCACTTTCTAGATGTAGAAATTCGAAAGTCGAAGGTTACTTCAATTAACACCCACCTTTACATGGGAGTTCTCGATTTTGATGCGTATTCACCTATAGTATAGTAGGGGGAACAATAGAAAAATCACGCCCTATACCCGAAGCGAGATGAATTACGCTTTGTTATTTCAAACTCAATCTCAAGTGAAAATTGAAGAGCATTTTTCATTCTATTAAAAACCCCCACAACAACATTCTACCCCTACAATATCAGGAGATTTTCCAGGAACACGGTGGACGGTTTTAACCCTACGAGATCCTCGACTGATCGTGATTGTTACGGCCTTATCTGAAAGGCTGGTGGGAATGTTGTTCAGAGTTGCTGCATCTGAAAAGCTATCTTTCAGATATCCGATTGAAGAATTATGCAGCAGCTCCAGGCGATTACAGGAGGCCTCCTTGAGCTCGATGATGACGGCAAATGACGTAATATTCTCAAATCGGTGAGAACAGTGACGGTCCGCTTTTGGTCATTTGGGAACATTTAGGGGATATTTTGTCGCAAAACTTCCATCAAAAAGGTTGACAAAAACTTCGATTCTTTCTTTTTGCCTCCTCCCCCTCCCGTACAGATTTCGTACCTGACACTCATTGTCGACTGCGGAAGTTAGGAAGGAAAAAATAACACAAATTAAATACAAGAGATGATTCGGGGGACAAAAAGAACCGTTCTGCAGCACATACCTTGGGAGAAGGGAGGCGAGAAAATACGTGGAAGCGGATTTGAATAGCTTTGTGGTGAAGATTAGTTGTACGTCAACACGTAAACACACCTCGTCGTACAGAGTGTTAAGAAATTCCAGTACAGTCCATGTGGGTAGGTCTGCCAACCACGTCAGAATCCCGCGTCGATATCAGTAGCGGAGTGGATGAAGGAGGGGTGGAGTGTTCAAGTTAAATCGGGAATGGCAAATCATATCCATTGTGTTATATATTAATCACCCAGAACGAATGAATTGAGCAAAAAGTGGGGCAAGAAGTGCTACCATCACCTGCTCGGCTATCAAAGCGATGTATTATTCTCTTATTCAGGTGTCTCAAACGAGCTTTCTATCGCACACAATTCCAGGATATCAAGCAGAGGCAGTTCCCCGTTTCCTCTGATAGTGTTCTAAAGATTAATACATCATCTGACTAAGTAATAAAGTTGGTAGGGTGCCTTGAAAAAGAGAAGAGAAGTATATTGTGTGTATGAATATTGGAATCAGTATGGATGTGGTAAAGGGAATGATACGTCGCATTCGAGCGCAACCATAAGCCACAATCTAAAACAGGCTCCGCCTCCGAATTGTTCTCGCCCCAATGTGGCTACCGATGTTCCCTATCTTATCTCTTATTATTCATTTTTAAAGGAAGCGGTAGCGCAGGCTCAGAGGTGGATAACAGTCATTCCGTAACCGCATTCCTACCATTTTCAGGAGGCAGACAAGAATGAATAAGATCTATTGACGGAATAGGGTTAAAGGAGGTGGTCACAGATTTTCTTATGGAGACTATAGGAAATACAAGTAGATAAGGTGAGGCGTCCTAGCAATGGACGACATTGTGACGCTTCAGGAGCAGTGCTGCTTATCAAAACCAGTGATGAGGCGCCAAAACCGATTCCGTCGCGTTACACCTCCTTATCAGACGTGAAGGGGATGCAACAGCAACATGCTAGATATGATACGGTTATCGTTATCGTTCGATTTCCATGCTGGAGTGCACCTCATCTATGCAGCCGTATCTTCTAATCTAATCTTGTCGTGTCTTCCATAGGGTTACGCTCGTCTCACTATCTATCTCCAACCTTATCGGTTGATAACGCGGAGTTTGGCGATCCACGTGGAAGCTGCCGTGACCGCTTTCTTTGGGAGGAGAGCTGAGATAGAGAATGTTTGGACGAGCGCACTCCATGTGGATAAGATACGATAAGGTACGATAAGAATATGGCTTTTCTTTGAGGTGCACTGAAAAATGTCCGAAATGGTGGGAGGACAAGAGCTCTGAAGAGCTGAGTAACCGCGGAGCTTTGCCATCCTCTACGGCGCCTTTTTACGCCGGTGACAATGGGTCACTGCCACACGTAATCCCCACCTACCCTCTCATCAAGTAGGCTTCCTACCCAACTCACTGTGCATCCTTTCCACTCGTTCCCACGGGATTTCAAGCGACCGCTCCCTTCAAAGTGCAGCGTTACGCCCCCAAATTCTTCTAATGTATTCTTCGACTCCTATTTCTTTGTACTTCCTCGAATAGCATCTACTATTGAGGATTCTCCCAAGCGGTTGCTTCTGAGGGATAATGGTCAAGGATCCACGAAATTTCTTGGCGTAGTTTTTTTCACTTTTTTGTATTGTACTTGTTTTGCTTCACCATCGCTAAATTTCAACGTCAACTGATCGTACATACTCACTGCGTTATTGGTCGATTGGCTAACTATTCACTTTTTTTACTATGTGCTACTTCAACTTGATCTTTGAAATACCAGATCAAGATGCGCAGCGGTATAGAAAAAATATTGGCTTGGTCACTTAAAACTTTTCTTCAAACAATTGTTGTCCGAAACATTTCTGAAAGGCGAACAATGAAAAAATTATCAGTAGTTATATTTAGCCGGAATGGAATCAAATGCGAAATCAGTGAATACCATACATTCCGCCTGCAAAACAAGAATGTAATTGCTGGATGAAAGCATGGGACCATGACCAGTTAACGTATTCTAGCTGCGTACCAGCGCAAAACACTTGCTTTAGTCAAATTGAAGCACGTCACTATGACACATAATTTATTCCCGTAATTCTAGCAAATGACTGATGAATTTCTGGATTGTGGGCTGAGAATAAACGATGAAGCACCCTTTTCAGGGGACGTAATCAAGAGAATTGCCAGGAGTGACCAATAGAGGGAGTAACGTTTCGAGGGGATTTGACCAACACGACATCCAGGCAAAGCTGATTTGAGTAATTCTTGGGCTTGCACCACCCCTGATGGGGTTCTTCAGCTCAATTCCGTCTCCGGGCCATATTCCCACTTTTACTGCCCTACACAAACTGTAATTGTCTTCCACAAAAAAAACTTTTGCTTGATGCGAGGCTTAGCGGAAAACGGAGGGTATAAAGGGTGCAGAATATACAAAAACATGAGGAATTCGAAAATTCTTTCTTCGAAAACAAATTACTGCCAACTACTGCAAGCAATGTACAGGATCAAGCTTCATGCAATAATCGACGCGAGATATGAAAATAGGGATGCGATCCGACAGTGGAGAAAAGGGTAAAAAAAAACCTCTACTCTGAGTTAAGGTGGCTCTGAGAACACGAAACTGTTTGCCGAACGGTGCGGAGATGTCCAAGAAGCAGACAGATAGGAGATAATGTGAGTTGCGGAGAGGGGAAAGAAGTTCCTCCTCTTAGGTAAAGCATAAGTAGTGGACACAATAAGAGATCAAACAGTGAATGGTTCGTGAAATTTGTCGGATTTAGACTTCAACTCTTGCGCCCAGAGTCTCATAATAAGTCGTGTTAGATACCGAGGATAGCGCGTCTTTTGCATTATCGGCACCTAGCATCTCTAGCCACGAGAGGGACTGAGGCAGCGAAGCTGAGCTTGAAACCTTCCTGTAGCTTGTATAAAACCGCTCAAAACTTTCTCAAAACCTCTGACTTCCAATAGTCCCAACCCCTAAAAGTGCTACTTCTCATTTGTGAAAATGCATGACTTCCATGATCACTACGACCCCCTCCCCCTCTCCGCCCCCCGTAATAGGAACAAGTAGACTCGTCCTACCGAAGAAATCCTTTCCGTCGACTTTCCTTAGTGGCCAAGCCACAGCATTCTTCGACATACGCCCTGCAGCGCAGCGCGGGATTCCTCGAGGAAACAAAGGCCTTTGGAGAAAAAATGAAATGCAAACGCAAGCACGAAACCCAATTGCTGCCATGACTAAACAAGGCTGAGAGCGTAGGCCATATGGGCATCATGCACTCACCCACCACAGACCCCGCCCCCCAACAGCGGCCAGTCTACTCGCTTACAGTTAGAGGCCGATTTCGTCCTTGTTGACCAGCTTCCATATTTTTCATATCGCAATATCTCATCCGTTTGATCCCGGACTTTTCCTTTAAAAAATTTGATCTAAGCTGATAATTTATGAGGAATTTCTATATTGTAGCCAGCATGGGGATACGGGAGAGCGTGGATTTTTCGATAACCGGAGCCTTCAAACCAGAAGAGGAACAACGACTGCGGCCCAGTGTGAGAACACAGGTTGCAGATTCCAAAAAGAAGGCAGCAGGAAAGGCAATCGAACAAGAAGGGTAGATGTTCAAACATTCATGTTTGACACGTCACTTTCCATTGTAACAAATTTGACTGATTAATTGGAAGCAAATGGTGGAAGCACCGACTTAAACGTCGTTCACGAACCCTTCCTTGGAAAAAAGGACATTAAAATCCCTCCATTAGGGAAATTAAATTCGTATTTTTAGCGTGTCTCAAATTAATCGGCCTCCCGCGATTATTTTATCCGTTCTTTTTATGGCAGCTTCCAAGAGAAAAACCCATTGTTCGCTAGCTATTTCCGAGTCCGTCAAACCTCCGTTTTCGTTTTGCCTGGAGATTAGTTTCTCAACAACAGCAATAAGATTTTTATATCACCTTAATGGCAGTTCCATGCTATCCTCAAAATTTGGCTCTGAAAATGAATCCTTCGCAGAGAGAGGCAGTGGTCCATAAACTCGAATAGGAGCTAAAAGGTAAAATTCAAAAGAACAAAATGAATTAAAATAAAGGTAATCAAGGAAATCAAAACGTTTCTGCAAACTATCGAACACCTATTCTTGTTGTTGTGGCATATTACAGCTGTTTATCGGGAGGTGTTTCCAGAATATTCCACCGTGTGACCTAAATTTATGTGCAAAATCGCGGTCAGATATGAGCAAATCCAGAATTTGGATTGTCGTAATACCCTTGGGTGAGCGAAGTAAGGCAGCGAGTAGTAGAGCTTTTACAGCGACCAGGGTCCGAGGACAGGGTCAGCCATCCAGCTGATTTGTTGTTCACCAGGGCTAACCATCTCATCTCCTGGAAAAAAACAGAAGAGGATCCTGTTTGTAGAAATTGAACGGATTGTGATTGAGAGAGAAGGGGTCATTTTTGCCGACTTGGCGGACTTTTGGCCATCATAAAAAGAAGCATGAAATAGACACAATTGGAGGAGTCGTCCGTTTTTCTAGACATAATCCCCCACCCCCTCCATTCTCGAACTCCCGCTCGAAGAATATTTTGGAGGGGAGAAGTGCGCAGGGTTAGAGCGTCGACGGTCCGCATTCTCAGAGTCAGGCACTTTGGGAAGTTGTTGGGGAAGGGGTCATATCGAGACTCCCTTAAAGGCAAAAGTCGGGCTCAATAAGGGGGTATTATGGCGATTGAAACTGAGTATAGAGATGCGAAGTAACGACAGTGGAGAAAAAACTGAGAAAAACCGTCGACAAGGCCGTTAACAAAACCCTCTTTCCCACTAGTGAAGGAGGCTGGCTTGGGGAAAGAGGCACGTACAAACAAGTTTTCTGGAGATGTCAGTCGTTCTATCGGTTGATACGGCAATCAACCTAGCTGATTTCACACGTTATGCCAGCCACGCACCACTCCGGAGGTAGCTGGTCTAAGCGAAGCCAGCGCGAAAGCGCTAATACGTGCCCGGCGCCAGCAACCCCTAACGTTGTACAAGTACCAGGGGTCGTACTTGGTTTAGCTTGGAGGGGGGGGTCGTACCCACTTTAGTCGCTCGAAATCACGTGTGGGATTGAGGTGAAACTAAGATTTCGTGGGTAGTAGTAGGCTGGCGAGTGGAGGGCGCGCAGAGATAAAAATTTGCCGTTTCAGCCGGCGTGCATACCTCCCTCCTAGAAAAGGAAGTAGTGGGAGTATAGGTAAAAAATTGGGTTGAAATGGTGGAAATAGAAGGAAATTTTCCGGGTACCTCCTCCCCCTACCATGCTCGCTGGCATTTTTGAAGGGAAAAAGTGGGCGGGGTTTTGATGGAAGATGGAGATGGTGGAAGTGTGGAACGTCGTAAAAATTTTTCGAAAAGTAACAACGATAGGACAGACTTTGCCTGGAGCCTTACTACGGCGCCCAGGTGGGCTTCCCTGAGCATGGTAAGGCTGCTTTCATAGTTCGCATCGGTGCGGTCGGTGCCGACGGCGCCGACCGCACCGACAGTGTGAAGAGCGTCAATATGCGCTCTGGCGCATGACGCGTGCGCTGGGCGCAGATGTGGGGCTCCGATCGATGCCGTTGGTTTTTTGTGTATTTCTTGTGCTTTTCGATGTTTTTTCGCGCCGTGTTGCATTCATTCGTGTGTTTTCTGTTCATACTTTTCTTTAATGTCTTGATTAATACTTTTCAGCTGTTCCACGACTTCGTTGAACCCCGTCGTACTACCCCGAGTGGCTATACTGGGTGAGTTCATCATAAGCAATTTTGTTTATTCGAGTGGACTCTATAAATTTAGAAATTGCTTTTTCTTCGATACGATTTCCTGCTGGTGTGCGAAAGGCCGCCGGATCTTGGTAATTTAATTATTCGCACACCAGCAGGAAATTGTATCGAAGAGAAAGCAACTACTGGAAACATACAGTTCACTCGAATAAACAGAATTGCTCATGATGAAATCACTGGGTCTTGAAGCCACTTCACACGGGGTTATACGACGTCGCTCGTCCGCGGAACAACTGAAAAGTACTCATGAAGACATAAAAAATAAGTATCAACAGAAAACACACTTATAAAAGGAAGACTGAAGACAAGAAGTACACCAAACCCAAGATTATCGATCGGAGCGCGCCATCTGCGCCCAACGTACACGTCGTGCGCCAGAGCGCATATTGACGCTCTTCACACTGTCGGTGCGCCGGTCGGCACCGTCGGCGCCCGACCGTCAGCCGATGCAACTATGAAAGCAGCCTAAACGTCTCTGTGGGTGCGCAGCCATGCACAAAGACGACAAAAGGGATTGGTTCGGTCCACTAAGCCTAACTCGTGCCTTTAAGAAAAAGAGTCTTAAAAATTTTGGAATAGGGACAACGGACGGTTGACCCTGTTCAGGGATGAAACTGCACCCGTTCTAATGCTAACCCACAGCATTTTTCCATTCATTGGTATCAATCAATCGGTATCAGCGCTCGTATTGATGATGCGTACGTCAGCTCACTTTGAAAGTCGCATCCGCCTCATATGCATTTAAGGGCTGCTACAATACCGAGCAATAAGTTCCATGTTTGGTTTTCCTGGAAGCTGGGCATTTCGGATATTGTATTGTTTCTTTGGCCCCTATACAAGTTTTTATTTTGTGTTGAACATTCTTATTGGCCAATCTTTCACAATTCGTTCGTTCTGCAGGACTTGAATCTGTTTCTGAAATTCATATCTTGTTACTCATCCCTTGTTAGTTGCCTCATTTTTTATCTGATTTTCCTCCCAAAAAGGTGAAACGGTACAAGAAAACGATGCTGATATTTGGTTTATTTTGTACTATTTCGCTTTCCGGGAACTCAGTAAGATTAGGCGCTTCACCGGGTGAGCTACAGAGCTAGGACTTCGAACCAGTTTCAGGTCCTGAAGACGACGAATTGTCGAAACGTTGACCAATAAACGTGTTCCACCATAACAACCTGTATGGCACAGAAGAAACAACACAATACCGAGCGTTTGCCAATGTATGGCGCATTCCAAGGACCGACTGCAGAGAAAATTCACCTTACTTCCTATATCTGCATGTCCTTTCTCTTGCTGTGCGTTATGACGAATCTGACTATGGACTTGAAGAAGGTGTGCCAACAAAATCAGTCGTTGCTCCTACTGTAATTCTTGAGCTTGAATACAATATGGCTACAACAAAAAACGCAACAGTGCATAGGTTTATACAAAAAAATTAGATGGACGAAACTCCAAACGAAACTACATACTGACACCTCAACCAAACCCTAAAAATACTCCATTATTCGATACTGAAACTTAACTGAACTTTGTAAAAGACGCTATCGTACCAAATTGGATAACTTGATTATCAACATCGACATCAGTGAAAATACAATAGTATGGACAAATACGGAACATCATCAACAGAGCAGCCAGTGAATAAAGAGACGCCGTCATAGATCAAGACACTGACAAAGAATTCAACAATTGAACTCACGAATCTCACGCCTAATTATCTCATATCTTGCTTTATAACGACGTGTGAATGAGAGAAATGAAGATAATTGCATTGAAAAACACCGCTACATTCCTACTGATCACTCGAAATGTGATGGATTGAGTGGAGGAGATCTTGGCAGAATTCCCTCATGAAAAAGCTACACACCGTAGCAAAAAGTCGGTCTTCTAATACATCATTCTGTTCGCACCAAAGTTGCAGGGTTGAGTAGGGATGAAGAATAAAAGCATTTGCGCAACTGAGTTCGAAACGATTCCGTTCACAAAGCCAGTCATTTCGTCAATTTTGCTACAAAGCCATTCTGGGTCGCAATTAAGTACAAAGTGCGAACGCAACACGTGCACATTAAGGTATAGAAATTAATTTTCAGGCCATTTTTTTTGCATTTGGCGACATTTAGAACAAGATGTTTTTACAGCCGAGTGCTCCAAAGCCCAAGCGAGCTCCTGGTATCCCATTAGCAAACATGTCGATCGAAGAAATCAACGCCCGAAAAAGAGAGCAGAACAGAGCTGCTGCGCAACGCTATCGCGAGAAGAAAAGAAACTGTAAAGAGACGGAGAAAGAAGAGAGAATCATGCTGGTAAATTACTGGTACTATTCAGGTAAAGTGTGTACCTACTTTATTGCTAGCTCGAGCATACGAATGTAAAGCTGGGAAGGAACCGTGATCTAGGAAATTATGTGGCCTAACCATAAGATTTCATCACTACACTATCCCTTGTAGTCAAACTCGCCTCAATCCTATTTTGTTGGTTTGCGCTCCTGATTCAATCCATCATTCAGGATTGTTCTCTTGCAGTGGCACAGTGGTGGCTAGGGTGGCCAAGACCAAGAATTCCTTCTGAGTTTAGGTATCCGATTGAGTGGTTAGCGTTGTTTTACGAAAGTGAAGTATATTAGAATATATGGGACTTGAGGGGAATGGTCATAGGATGTGAGAAGTGGGAGAGGGGATCATTTACATATGGAAGAGGGAGAGGGAGAGATCGCGTTAAAATTGCTCCGACACGCGGGTCACCCATGTGGTGATATTTGTCAGTCTTCGTCGTTTAGTTCGCCTTGCACGGCTATTTGATCAGTAACCGTAGTTAGTCTTTAAACGTAGTTTACCTTTAGCTACTAGGTTTGATTTCGAGAATCAGTGAGTGTTTCCACTCAGGTCGCGAATTTCAGGAGGAGGAACGACTTGAGAAGCGCAACTCTTTCCTACGCGCAGAAGCTGTACGTCTTCAGGACGAGATAGATGAGCTTAGGAAGGCGATCCTTGGAGGAGTTGCAGTGCGATAGCTTATCACTCGTGGAAAATCAGACGATAACATGAATGCAAAGTGTTGCTGCACGATCGCCCGGGCCATTTTAAACATGATCTTCTCAGTGAGGTGCATGTGTTCTTTGAATGTGGAGTTCCAAATTCGTATCTTCATTCCCTGACTTTTGAGAATACGTTTTTTCCTAAAGTCATATGGACCTTTCATGTTTCAATGTTTTTGGTGTCAAATGACTAGAGTGGCGCACTGTTTGTAGCATATCTGTTCAAGATCTTCCAGTAAATCACAGACTAAAGTGCAAACGCAACACGTGGATGTTAAGTATGCGGCTACGTGAGCGACAATCTGCGTTGAGCGGCGAAACTCAAGACGTTCAACGTGCAGAAAGCGAGCCGCTACGAGTACGCGCGCTCAATG